AGCTGTTTCTCCTCAATTTGAGTGGTGCCACATCAGCAAATGGAGGTCTTGAAAGCTTTACCTTATCCATATGAGTAAGGCTGAGTTTACTCTGATAATGCAGCTCTTTTCCAGTCCTATTTTGAGAGCCTTCTAACCTAATCAGACTATTCATAAATTTGCGTGTTAATGTATCAGACAGTGTTTCTTTGCTATTCATAAGGTTTTCCCTGGCCAATTCTTTGAGAAGTGGATGGCCTCTTCCTTCTTCCTAGTCTATCTTAGTCTGTAAGCTGGGCTGATAACTGTGCACCATGTGCATCCTGCTGGGTTTGAAACACCAGTGGCTCAACTTCAAAACTCACATCAACATGTCACCACGGTAGGACAAACTGACAGACAAGTTTGTCTTCAAAACCAAACCAAACTCACTGCTATTGAGTCAGATCTGACTCATAGTGACCCCACCTAAGATTTCCAAGGCAGAACAGATAGTAGCTAAAGCAAATGGAATAAATGACAAGATAAAACAGCTGAACAGAAAATTTCAAAGAGCAACTCAAGAAGACAAAGTCAACTATTATAATGAAATGTGCAAAGACCTGGCATTAGAAAACTAAAAAGGAAGAACACATTTGGCATTTCTCAAGCTGAAAGAACTGAAGAAAAATTCAAGCCTCAAGTGGCCACATTAAAGGATTCTATGGGCAAAATATTGAACAATGTAGGAAGCATCAAAAGAAGATAAAAGGATTAGAAAGAGCCGCCGTACAAAAAAGAATTGGTTGATGTTCATCTCTTTCAGGAAGTGGCATATATTCAAGAGCCAATAGTATCAAAAGAAGTCTAAGCTGCACTGAAGGAACTGGCGAAAAACAAGGTTCCAGGAATTGACAGAATACCCACTGAGATGTTTCAACAAATGGATGCCGCACTGGAGGCACTTATGCATTTATGCCAAGTAATTTGGAAGACAGCTATCTGGCCAACTGACTGGAAGAGATCCATATTTGTACCCATTCTAAAGAAAGGTGATGCAACAGAATGTGGAAATTATTGAACAACATATTCTATAAAGACCCTTTTATTAAGCCATAAGCAGGACAAAGAGAAAACAAATTTAGTCATTCAGATGAGGGAAACCATCATCATGTACCCAGTACAGAGGCCGATGGGTTCCGCCAACTCACAGCCATGATTTTCATTATTTTTGATAGAAAACAAAAGAAATCATCACAAGATCGTGATTGGTTGCAGGTCAATCCATCACTGTTGCAGGTGAGACTGTAAAAGCAGGAAAAGGACCATGACTGGGATACATATGTAACTGGAAATTAAAAGGGGTTACAGGATTGGTTTTGGGGCTTTGATTACCTGGTTACATGGTAGTCATGCGATCATGAGTCATAGACACAAGTTGGCTACAACACAATACCCAGACCCTGGTGGTGCAGTGCCTAAGGCATCTGACTGCTAAACAGAAGGCTGGCAGTTCAAACCCACCAGCCACTCCATGGAAGGAAGACTGGGCAATCTACTTCTGTAAAGATTTACTGCCTCCAAAACCCAATGGGAGTCAGAATCAATTCAGTGGCAGTGGGTTTTGGTTTGGTATCCTTAAATTAAATTAGATGACATGTAGGGAAGATAGAAGGGCTGTGTATGCACAGGGAGACAGCTCAGGGGGCAGGAGTGCATGGGAGAGAGGGACACAGGGAAGAGGTAACCATGGGGAGGAAGTGGGAGGGGAGCTGTTGCATCGTGGGAAATGGCAGTCAATATCATGAGATGAAGTGTATATAAGCTGCTGAATGGAAAGTGAATTTGCTCTGAAAACTTCCACCCAAATCACAATAAAAAGAAAAAAGAAAGAGGGGCAATGCATTATGAATTAGTATTGAATTAAAAAAAAAATTAGATGACATGTAGCTATTTTCAGTAATCATTAAGGACACACCCAGGCAAGTCCCCTAATTCTTTGTGTGAGTATCATACTAATTAATATACTTTTAACTACATTCTTCCTGAGGACAAACTGCCTCTCACTGGCCTTGCCCTGGGCTTGTCTAAGCATAGCCATGTTGCTGGTGTAATGGCCTGCAAGCATTACAGAAGTAACAGAAAGAATTCAAGTGGTTTCTGAATTTATGTCAAAATTCAAAATAGAGTTAGAGCACCTGCTGTAAACTACAGCCTTCTACAAGCCAAGTACTTTAGAATTTAAGTTCTAATGCAATCCATTGTACAGAAGATGAAATCTGGAGTCCAAAGCTGCAGAGTTTTGCACTGGCTTCCTCGAGGACCATTTGCCCTTCTAAACTGTCAGAAATAGCCAGGTTACAAGATTCTTTGATGATGCAGAAAGCATTTGGATAATGTGGCAACTGTTCTGGTCTGAATGCACATTGAAGTTTTTTTTTTTTTTTTTTTTTTTTGTTCATGTTTGTTTAAACCTTGGTTTTCTCATATAGGGGTCTCCAAAGCGATTTTACAAGGTGCTGGAAAAGATGTGGAAAATGAATGTTCTCTTCAAGGTAAGTTACAAACTGTTTTTTTGTCTGAAAACCTGAATAGGGTTAGTTACAGGGAGGCTGGGAAAAACTTGGGACTGGGAAGACAACACCAAGCAGCTCTTAAGATCATACATTTAACTGAAGATTTCCAATTATAAAGAATTAGAACAAATAAGTAATCTTACCTTAAAAAAACTGAAGTTAAACAAGAAAACTCCATTAAAGATCATGTTTCTGGAGTCTCTTATTCATATAAAATGTTTTATTAGCCAATTCAAACATCTTGCTTTCTGAACAATCAAAAGATGGATTCAATATCTAATCTTGCTCCTTGTCTTCTTGTATCCCAGCTAAACAGGGCAACAGTGATTATATAATTACCAAAGGTGGACTATTGAACTGCAAGAATATTATTCATGTCGTTGGAGGAAATGATATCAAGAAATCTGTGTCCTGTGTTTTGCAAGAGTGTGAAAAACTGAAGTATGAGTCTATTTGCCTCCCAGCCATTGGAACAGGTTTGTAGCCTCTGGCTGTCAAGGCTCAATCCCCACACATTCACTTTCTTTTAGATTTGTTGCTGACTCTTGATGGAGTTATTGCTGAGTTTGAGTGACAGCGGCTTCCTCACCCCAAAGCAGCCCTTGAGAGAATGAGCAAAGCCTGTGGGTGGTTTAAGAGAAGAGTCAAAAATGAAAACAAGCAAATGTTGAGACAGAAAGAAAGGAGGGGAGGAGAGGAGGAAGGTGAAGAGAAGGAAAGCAAAGGGTGCCTCATTCTCTCTCCTGTGTTCCTTTCTCTTTTTTTCCATTTCCCTACATATCCTCCATTGTTTAGTCCTTAACTTCTTCCTCTATCCCCTCTCTGTGGAGCACTGCTTACTCTCAGTCCATCAACTTCCACCCCAGTGTGGAGAAGTGTAGATGAGCACTCCACCCTGTTCGTTCTCCTCTATAGTATGCTGGGTCAGCTGACCTTCAAACTCTCACTGCCTTCGAGTCACTAGACTTAGCAGTCACTAGACTTATAGCGACCCCTCCTTGGGTTTCCGAGGCCATGTGGAAGTAGATCCAAGTCTTCCTTCTGAGGAGTGGCTGGTGGGTTTAAACCACCAGCCTTCTGGTTAGCAGTCAAATGCCTTAGACCCTCCACCACCAGAGCTCCTTAGGGCATCTCTAAGTGCTCTGGTAGAGTAGTGCCTAAGGCACTTGACTGCTAACCAGGAGGCTGGCGGTTCGAACCCACCAGCCACTCCTCGGAAGGAAGATGGGGCAATCTACTTCCATAGTGATACTGCCTTGGAAACCCAAGGAGGGGTCGCTATGAGTCGGGTCCAACTCCATGGCAAACAACAACAACAAGTGGAGGCTAATCTGTCATCAGAACCTAATGGGTCAGAAACTCAACTCTCCACCCTTCTCTTCTTTTGCTCATTTTCCTTGTTTGAATTCCTTGTTTTCATGAAACGATGTAATAATTGTGGAATTCTTCATATAATGCTTTGGGTTTATCGTTAGTATATTAGATGTTTTTTGAGCCATTTTCCCAGAAATCAGAATCTATGTGAATTTATTAGGATTTCCTGCTTTGACTCTTAGGAATTATTTGTGAGCTGGTCAGGGATGGCATGCACTCTCAGGTTTGAAGTAGAATGGAGCTGACTGGTTCCAGTGAGAGAGCAACAGTGCATCTGTCATTCCATTGCTCAGGTATCTAAGTCTCTCGAACTGGAATTCTGGGCCCTCCAAAAGTTTAGCCTCAGTAAACATAACCATCCTTGTCACTTTCAGGACATTCTTTTAATCTTCTGCCCATATACTGCTTCCCCCCACCCCATATATTGCTTTTTGTAATTTTCAATTATTTCTCATAATGTTCCTGCTATGTCGATTTTATTATCTTTCTATTTCTAAAAGCAGAATTTATGATCCCTTAATGTTTCCCTTATGGTATTGTTCATGCATAGCAGATTAACCAACATCCTATCTATCTGCCTGCCTGTCTTCCTTTCTTTCCTTCTTTCTTTATTTCACACCCACCAATGAATAAGTCAGGACTAGCAATGTCTCCTTGCTTGTCTTCTTTACCCTTCTCTATCACTACCCAAGATGGTCCTTAGAATAGTGGATGGGAAGTTTTCTCTCTTAATGGTGTTTATGAATTGAATTGGGACTATAATCAAGAAAGCTTCTAGCAGTATAGGAAGCCCCTTCCTTGTTTCTTACAGACACCTGCATAAGAGAGAGTGGATGGCCAACCATACTGCAAGCAGCTCACGCTTAATGCAAACTCCAGTTCATAATGCAACTCCAGCTTCTTCCCTAAAGCCTGCCCTTCTTTTTGTATCTCCAAGCATATTAAAAGCATCACTTTCCATCTACAAATCTTGACTTTACCCTCTTTGTTGGGAGTTTTTTTTTTTTTTTGTGACTTGCTCAATTACTTCTTTTGTGAAGGGTCTGTTCAGATTGTCTGCCTCAGATTGTGTTAGCTTGGGTAGGTAGTGTGTTTCTAGAAATTTGTCTGTTTCTTCTAGCTTTTCAAATTTGTTGGAGTGCAGTTCTTCATAGCATTCTGTTACTATCCTTTTTTATTTCAGTACGTTCTATTGTGACAGCACCTGTTTGATTTCTTTTTTTATCTTATTTGAATCTTCTCTTTCTTTCCCTTTCGTTGTTGACTTGGCCAGTGGTTTGTCTCTACTGTCTTTATCATTACTATGTCCATTAACTTAATAATTAACTTGATTAACTAGTTACTGAGTGCTTGACAAAAGATGGCTAGGAAAATGGTCCAGCCTGAAGGAGGATCTAGTTTAGTGTGAAAGACAGACGTGTAAATGAAAAACCGCAGTACAGTGTGTCCCATGATACAGTGAAGGTGTGTGGGTGGTAAAAGAGGGGAAAGGAGAGGTCAGTAATGATGAATCCAGCTGGTCACTAGCTCATGCTGACTTGACTTCCTGATTGTCTCTGGAATCTCTTCATTTTAGACTTCATTCTGGCCTCCTCTTTGTTCAGCAATCTTTTGCCTAAATTTTATCATAGCCTCCTAACCAGACCTGTGCTGCCTGCTGCAGTACCTCCTCCACGCCCCTTCAGATTCATCTTTGTCAGAAACAGGTCTGTTCCCCTGAGCATGCCAGGCTGAACATAGCATGCCCCTGTTATACACTTCTATCTGGCAAAGCTCCTCCCTCAATTCTCCATACTTCTGTTAAATGCCTGTTCATCCCCATCTCTCAAATCCTCTGTATCCTAAGTGCTGAGCTGATCATCTGCCCCGTGATGGGTCATGGTAAATGTTTATTGAGTGTGAATGAATGTATTTGAGCACTTCCATTTAAATCCCATAAAACTGGGATAACACAGCTTTGTAAAGGAGAATTTTCCTCTTTCCTTGATCCTGTAATCAAAAAAGAACAAACCCTCTTGGTTAGTTGTATATGGGTACTTCCCACAATTGTCTACATGGCCAAGTCAAAGAGACCTACTCTCATTTTCTACAATATTGGTGGGTACTCTCAACAAGAATAATCCAAGTGGGCCCTTCATCTATCTCAACAGCTTGGCCAGGGAACTTTTACATTGGCCACGATTACATGACTTTATCAGCTGCCATTCATATGGAATCATGTCCATTGCTAGAAACTGGCTTTTCATGATCTTATCTAGGTAGTGGGCTTACATGGCTTAAGAGAATATAGAGCATGCTGAATACAGGGAAGGACCTGCTCAGGGTGACAACCTTGAACCCTGCTAGACAACTAAAATCTCACTGGATGTGGGAGGAAGGACTTCCCAGAGGCTATTGGGTAACTTGTGGGCAAATTATTATAGAGTATAACTGATAGCTTAGAGCTTCTGTTCTCTTAAAAAATTAGCTTAGTTTAAATCAGGCTCCCAATGGCATCTGTGAGAGTAAGGATGCATGCATAACATCAAATGATGACTGAGACATAATACATTGTTTTTCTTTTAAAAAAGCATGCTTTTTCAACATACATTAGCATCTTCTGCTTTTTATGGCTCTTTTGAGGACACTACAAAGCTAAAAAGAAAGATTACCTGTGCTCTGCAATAGGAAAGAGGAACACAGTGAACTGGGGTCAGCTGAGTTAAGCACATATGAATGTCAGCCACTAGAAGTTCAGGTAACAGGGTCGTTTTTCATTGCTATGCTGTTGGCTTCCTAACACCCTGGACCAAAAATTCTCCGTTACCTCTAAGACTTGAAAAATGCTTGCTGAGGTATTGCTAGAAAATTTGACAGTGATGAAAACGATGAGTAGTAGGCATTTATTCTGTGAGAATTGCAATCCTTCATTTTTTCCTCAGCCTTTTCCCGTTGAGTTTTTTGTTTTGTTTGTTTTGAGTCATTTTTATTATTTGATTTTCTAGGGAATGCCAAACAAGACCCAGATATGGTTGCTAAAGCCATGATGGATGCCATTGAAGACTTTATCCAGAAAGGATCAGTCCACTCTGTGAAAAAAGTTAAAATTGTTATCTTTCTGCCTCAAGTACTAGATGTGTTTTATGACAACATGAAAAAAAGAGCAGGGTCTCAGTCTTCTCCACAACCTTCAATGATGTCTAAACTTGCATGTGAGTTACTAATTTTTATGAAATCCATGTTCCTAATATTGATGGCACATGCAAAAAAAATGATTTTTTTTTTTCCAGCATTTTTAGGTTTCTTACGTCAATCTCCCAAAAAACAGACTCCTTTGGTGTTGGAAAAGAAAACAGAATCAGCAATTTTTCAGGTGTGTGGTGATAATGAAAAAAGTGTGGGAAACACTATTTCTTGGCTACAGGATCTGTTTGAAAAGGAGCAGTTTGTTTACACCAGTAGCGATGAGTGTATCAAAAACTTTGATGAAAAGGAGTATCAGGAATTGAATGAGCTCCAAAAGCGGTTAAATATTACCATTTCCCTGGATCATAAGAAACCTCTGATTGAAGTTTTTGGAATTCCTAGAGATACGGTGACAGCTTCAAGTGCAATTGAGGAAATGATCAAGAAAGTCAGAGTGAACAAAGAACAAGAATCTCGGGCTGATTGTATCAGTGAATTTATACAGTGGCAGTACAATGACAAGAACACATTTTATCCTTTTGATAAAATAACCAATCTGCAATTAGAGAATGCAAAGAGAGCAAAGCAAGGGACAGTTGGTGTCAAAATTAATGGGCAGAGCTACACAGTGGACTTGCATGCAAACGTTGCTATGGATGCAAAAGGAAACAGTTTACCTGTTCAGCGTCTCATGAAAGCTGAAGGTAAGTTAAAACTTCAGTGCTCATTAACCATTATTTTACATCTACTTTTGACTTTTGTACTTATGTCAAAATTTTACTCAAGTAAATAAAATTCAAGTAAGCTTTGTAGAATAAATTTTAAAAATTTGCCTCTGAGCTAAAGGAGTTTGTGTTTTGGCTTGGGAATACCCAGCAGCCTGAGGTTGACCAGCTGAATGGTAATGATAGCTGTTCTGTTTACCTAGCGCTGCTCTGATAGGAATATATAACAAAAAGAATGGCCTTACCAAACAGGAGTTTATTCTTACAATTTGGAGGCTTTAAGTCCAAGTTTAAAGTGCCAGGCTCCAGGGGCTGTGTGAAAGCCCCTTGACTTTGGCCTTCAGCTCTGCCTCTTGCTCCCAGCCCACTGAAGCTAGAAGCTTTTCTTCACTCAGACAGCTGCTGGCTGCTAAGACTGACAAGTCCAGGGTCAACAAGTGAAAAGGCACAGTCCTGATGTTACCAAACCACATGGCAGGCCATTAATTCAAGTCCACTGAAAGTCCCAAGGTCAGCAGA